TAGGCAAGGATTAGCGGACGAACAGACAGACCTATGGAAGTGGTTTTTCGTAATGTACATGTCATATAACATCCAAAAGACATAATATCTCATTTTCGACATTTGCCGCGATTACAGTATTTCCTTGCCAGTGGTGTAGGAAATAAAAGTGGTGTAATCAAATGTAATTGTGATAAAAGCTGGAATAGCGACGTGCAGTTATGTCAAGGCGGGCGAAACTGTAAGCTAGGTCATAAACCAGAAAGAACATGGAAAATTTCTCCCCAAGCTCCTAAATACGACCTTGCCAGTAGTGAAAAGTTCCCAAGACCATTTTTTTATGGATTAAAATAAATTATATATATTTAAAAATATGGTTTAAAAGCGTGTGAGATAGATTTTGTAATGTTAAGCATTACTTACTTTATATTCTTAGAAAATATTATTAACAGATTTAGTTTCAAAAACATGCATGCCCTAAAACTTGAAAATTGGGTGCCAAAACTGGACACATTCTAACAATTATCAAACTTCCTTTGATTCCAAGATTGTATTCTTAAGCAAGGATCTGTACAGTTAAGGAAATGACAAATAATCTCATACTCGCTTGTCCTTTTGAGGGCTGAACATTCTCTCTTGGGAGCGGCACAGCTATTATGTAAAAAACCTATAAAACGTCAAAAAAAAAGAAAATAAAATGTCATCACAGCTAGGTGGTGACTTTTATTTTCTATTGACGTCGTAAAATAAATTTCTATAAAATTTAAGTGGTTGGAAATAAAAAATAATGTAATAATAAATTATCATTTTCATAAATATTCCTGTCTGTGGCATATTTTTTCACCTGTTCCTTCACCAACAAGGAATTTCCTTTTGTTATCTCCCTCATTTTTGAAATTCAGCGAATTTGTATACGTAATTGCCAGATCGAATAAGAAAAGGTGAATGCGCAACTGATTTCTAGCTTTGAATCTCAAGTTCGTGCATTTGAGACAAGAAACTAATGAAAGAGAGTCAAACATTGATAACTAAAGCATGATGACGTTTAGGCAACACGTACAACTACAAAGTGTTCATCAGCTAGTGTTAAGTTAACATCTTGTAGAAAAACCTACATAATGTCATAAAAAAAACAATATAATGTCAAAAAAACGACATAATGTCACTTTTCACAGTACGTAATACGCATGCGGTCCTAGTATATTTTCCGTGGAGCCGTTATAAAATTTTTAACGATCGCGTAATCTCAGCATTTTACTGGACCCCTCACAGTATTTTACTAACACACTGAATAATAATATGAATATGAAAATGAAAAGGAATACAAACGAAGTATCATTTGGATGACAGCTAAATAAAACGTATTGTCAAGGTCATTGTACTGAAGAAAGCCACCGTTGCTACCGAAACGTTGACAATAAAGAAATTTTTTTCAACACGTGTAGTTTCGATTGGCCAGTGAAATATGAGGGATATCTACTATTTATAGTTGACCATAGTCAATATATAGAAAACACAAAGCCAATGATACTAACCATCGTCTTTATGGGAGGGGTCCGGTTTTGAGCGCTTTCCTCTATATTATTGAAGTATGACTTTTGCCTTTGATTCCACATTTCAGGAACGTGGTATTAGTCCATCCCTGTAGATGCGCGTATGAGTAATCTGCCATCCTGCATCGCACCACATGCGAGTGTGTATTTTAAAGGCTGTTGCCTAGGTCGAGAGCAAAAGCGAGAGGAAGACCCCCGTTGGCGAGGCACGTCATACCGATTTGCACCAACAAATACGTCGCCATTTTTAGAACCACCGTGCCGGTTTCTTTTATCTCGCTCAGTGTACTGAGAGGTAAACGGTGCTTGTAGTACTTTGTGACTTTTTTTCGTTATGAATTGGAAACTATATTATTTATAACCAAGTGTTCTATAGTCGAAGGGTGGCCCAACGAAAATGTCGCACCCCTATTTGTGACTCTTTTGGTATATTCTGAAAAAAAGGACTCGTCAATTTTTCTTTTTAGGGGACGTCTTTCTACCTGCAGCCGTACGATACAGGGTGATCCGAAAATAAGATATTGTGTTACACTTTGGATTTCAAAATGGAAACTCCCATTTTTTTTTAATTCTCAGATTTTCCATGGAGTTTTTACCTTAACTGCGTGTAAACTGCATGTTTTTTTTTTGTTTTTTAAGTACTCCGAGACTTTTTTTTAATTTTAAAATAAAGTCTTGTAACATAAATAATGATATTATAATATTTATTGAGAAAAATACAATTTAGAAGCAACAGAAAAAAACGTATCCTGCAATAAACATACACAACACCATAAGAGCTTGTGCGTTTGGGAATATATTCGTTGAGATCGTACACTTTCAACTTATGATTACCCTGTTAGAAGATTTTTAGCTGCATGATGTTGAACTATTTACAAAATATAATGATACAGGCTTCTAGAATATACAACAATTTTTTTTAATTTTAAAAAACCTACATCTAAGAAACAGAGATATAAAAGTATTACTTAACAACGGTGTACTAATTTGTTAAAACATCTATCACTTTTTTAAAAGATGCAAAAGACAAAGAAACAGTAATGAACTTTATCAATAAAAAAAACAATAGATAAGCCAAGCATTTATATTATATATAATAAAATGTGTAAGAAATTTTTTTAAAAAATATGAATATGGCACCCTAAATGTAAGTGTAATATTTTACCTATTTTCTATAATTCTGTGAACTTGTTCTTGTCCCTTTTCAAGCAAGAATCCTTTCTTTTTTAAATTACTGGCGAGATACGTATAGCATCTTTGTCCTATTTTTTTTGGTAGACAAAGAAGTCCCGCTTATTTTATTAATTTTGTTCCTAGTCGAACAAGTATATTGTATCGGTACTAACGTATGCTTGTTTTTAAATTGATATAACAATATACTGAACCAAAGCAATTGTTGAAAATCTAGAGCTTCCGCATCTCTATACAGCTGTTCTGGCGGATTATTGCTTTTACGATATAATCCCTTATTATCACAATTCCTAGAATTTTGTTATAAACTCAATGACTGGAGATAGGAAAAGCATAAAAATTGAAAAAATAGGGGTTTCTATTTAAAGTGTAATGCAATATCTTATTTATGGATCACCCTGTACTGTACGGCTATAGATGAAAAGACGTCCCTCTGGAAATCAAAATGACGTGTTCGAGCGCTTTTCCCTAAATATACCAGGAGAGTCACAAATAGGGGTGCGACCTTTCGTTGGGCCACCCTGTATAATAAACTGCTATCCTTGACAAATCTGAAAGAATTATTCCGGTATCTTAAAATTTAGCGAAGTTATGATATTTTCTGTGTTGGACGCTGCTGCCGAGTGCCATCGTGCATCGAAGAGTGACGTCACATGACATAAGTTCCAGCCTTTGCATATCGCGTTCATCCTTAGCGCTCAAGCTAAAACAATGGACGTATTAAAATATCAAGTCATTATAAATGATCGATAAGGCGTTCCTCAAATGAGAACAAACGTTTGGTATTTGAATATTTACCAATTATTCGCATAAATTTGCTGCAACACTGAAAAAAATATATTATAGTAATTGCGTACGTTTCCAGATCTTGTTAGTTTCAGATTCTTCATTTAGAAATTTTATTTGTGTTTTGTAATTCTGGGAATTTTTCGGTAAGGCTATACTTTAGCGCATATCGCAAATACTTAATTTCTTACTTTAATATGAAATATTAGGATGTAACTTTTACGAAAATACCATTTTTTTCTTTAAGGAACCCTATGCTTGCTATTTTATAGAACTTCGAAGTTGCATTTTTGTTGGTAATACCCTAGAATATCGTTTTATAAGCTGTCTTTTTTCTTTTTATACAAAAGGATGGTCTAAATTATGAGAATATAAGTTATACTGAATAGTACTACGGAAAATAGATGTGAGACTGTAAAAAATCGTTGTTTCTTGCAAAAAAGGTTCAAAACCAGACACATTAGCTTATTAGCTTAATTAACAGATCAACATACAAACGTAAATGATGGTATTTACTTGGTAAACCGTGTAGAGGTGTGATTTTTCAATGACTTAACCACCTTTTTCGCGTATTTTCAAAGAGATCAAAGTTTTTGCGTTTATAAGAAATATTTGAAAGTATAAACAATTCTCAATGCCATTTTCTGATGCTCATTTCGTGACAAATAAGATAAATGATGACCATTGTTGCCAAGTTGTACATTTTTTGAGAGAAATATGTAATTAGAAATGAGGTTATTTGCAGAATAAAAGTCTTCATTTATGAAAAGTGCTCCGAATATTTACCGAAATATAGATGAAATTTTGAACAGTATCTCTAAACAGTGGAAAATGCACAAGCGGCTCGCGTGACAAAAAATACAAAAGTCACCAGCGGTCATTGCATATAAAAATACCCAACGCCAGGTTCACCCAACATATCATCGTCCAACATTATAGTTAAATAAAGATCAACGATCATTTCATCAAATCATCAAAAACCTTGCGATGTACTTTATGTTTTCATTATTTAGTGATTTGCAACAGCTACTTTTTCAGTTATTTCCGGTACATATCACATTTCATACCTGGAAATTTGACCGGTGAAATGTATTTGGAATTACTGGAAGACGCCATAGATCCGGCACTAACAGCCGTAATTGAATATCAGAATGATCGGCAGTACATTGCGAATAGGTTAATGTTCCAACAGGATGGTGCCCCAACACATTACGCATTACGTGTTCGACAATATTTAGATCAGACGTTTCCAGATCAACGGATTGGTAGAAGAGGTGCCATTGAATGGCCCCGAAGATCGCCAGATTTATCACCTTTGGATTTCATCAGACCTGCTACAAAGAATACATGAGTGCCTTCAAATTATTCCTCAAATATTGCAAAATGTGCTGCATTTCTACGCGAACCAAACGTGCATATGCTCAATTGATTCAAATGCAGTTCCCAGATTTGTCCCACACATATACCACATACATCAAATCAAATAAAAGCTTGTAATAAAAACTACTTTTTATTTAATGCGAAAAACAGATCAGTCAACAACTCTTTAAAAGTATAAAAAATCAGGAATCACCAGCTTAGTACACTCCACCGCGGATTCCGTAGTAGGGGTAGACGGAGTCGATTCCGGCGGAGTAGGGGTAGTAGCTCCCATATTTGTAACCAGTGCTGTATGGGCCGTATCCGTGGATACCCTTCATCGTTCTGAACCAGTAAGCAGCTGAAATTAGAAAGTAATTTTATTGGACGTTTCAAAGTTCAGACTATATCAAGAAAGGGTTTCAGGCATTACAGGCAATCAAGTAGATCAATAATCTGATGTCAACGGTAGCAACGGTATTGGTTTGTCACTTTGGTAGGCACTGGACGTCAAAATAGCCAAAAGTGCAAGCTAAAACTACACAATTTTGGCGATAAACAATGTAGTGTAAGCATATAGACTTGGCTCTCGCTAATCTATTCCAATTTATTGCGAGCAGGGGACAAGGAAGCTCTGTACTTTTAAGGCACTAAGAAAATTCTTGTGTAACTGCAATTTCGTTCAAAAGTTGACCTTGGAGTAAATCAGGCACGAAGATTACGAATATAATGTCAATTTTTAGCTGGGTGACTTCAAGAGTCCAATTTTTTTTACTATAGATAAAGCTTTATAACATTTTAGCATTTTTCAATAGCCATAACCAGAATTAGCAATTTTAAATGACAAACAGTACCTAGGCATTTCTATGATATCATTATTCATCGCACCTAAGGAGAGAAAAGCTACTCGTCCAATAATTCCAATATTGGTGGTTGGTAACGAAAAAGTACGTTACTTCTGAGGCACGCTGTCCGTTCGAACATTGGAGGAAAGTCACTCACCGGGGTATCCGTAAGCAGTCATCTTGGCATCGTCGATGGTGTGCACCTGGTCCAATTGCAGTTTCTGCAGCCATTGCAGCATCTCGAGCCTCTCCTTTTGCTTCTGAATCTCCATCTGTTGCACAAGGTCAAGACGATCGAGGACCTCTTTGTCCTCCAACACCTGAGCGAGCTGTTCGGTCTTCAGGTCGCGCAACAAGTGCTGGCCTTGCATGAGGTGGACCTGTTGAAGGGTGTGCTTGTCGTTGAGGTCCAGCAGGTCGCCGATTTGGTGCTTCTTCAGGGTGCTGTAGATGTCGCTGCGAACGAAAAGGTTGAAAATAAGGGGGATGACTGGTTGAAGGAGAATGTGTAGCGATGATGGTTCTGGGTCTCCTAACAGGACACTGTCGTCTGGATCGACACGTTTGAGGCTCTTTAGTCTAGCAGAAGAGAGCACGTAGAAACCTCAGTGCATCTCTTGTGGCACTACGAAGCCTTGGCGAGGCTAAGGGTTCAGATATTTGGAATCAAGAATCCAACAGAGGAAAGCTGCATGGGTCAAGGCTACGAAACCTTATTAAAGAGTCGAGGCTGGATACAGTGCTTTACATAGTTTACACGGAGAGCCACAATAGATGTATAAGCGTCACAGTGATCTGTGAGATAAACACGAAGTACATCCTACTTACTTACTTTTGAGCAAATTATTATGATCCACCTGACAGCATGTCAGTGATGATGGAAATTGCCCGAATATAAATATATCACGGAGATGTACATTTTCTTGGAAAGTATCAGACTAAAAGCTCCACAGGTATTAATGTGTGGCACTTACCCAGAGGCTCCGAATTTCCTCCAGACCTCAGGTACGACCTCATCGTACACGCCCCTGCGGTACTCGTCCCCAATGGTGCTGTAAATGTCGTATGTGTCGTCCCATTTTCCTCCGATCTTGCCGTATCCGTAACCGTAGCGTTTGTAGAACGGGTGTCCGTAGCCGTATCCGTATCCGTAGTCTGAACCGTAGCCGCCCAAGATGGTTCTCAGGTAATCGCCGGAATAGCTCCTGCTGAAAATAATAGCGAAAACATGAATTGGGTTGTAACGTAGACTATTGCGTTCTCCCCGAAGGTAGCGGTATATTATATTTTAGGGATTTATCGATCATTACGACGTCAGCGATATCCGGATGTCTCTGTATATTACCGATTAAAATGTTTTGTGAGCAGCGCTGTCTCTACGACAGTAGTAAAGCTTGAACAGCAGCATTGATGGTAATCTAATAGAACAATTTGTTTCATCAGGAACAAGATATATTGCAGGTACACCATGAAAAAATAATTGCATTGCACCTATATATTGCCGCAGCGTTATCGAATATCAATCCCTCGATATATGAACGCTGAAGGAACTTTTCCTAAGCTAAGCGTATTGGCTTTGAAAAATCTCTTTGTGATGCAAATTTCCAACCAAAGCGATAAATAAAGCCAGGACATCATCAATCCGTATTGCCAAAACATTGTTTAATAGCTCTATAACCGTTAGTGCCCTTTATGAGGAGCAAAGGGGACATATGCCCCCCCCCCCTCCCGCTGTCTACCGCTTGAGAAGTGTATTTCTTTTACTCCTCAAACCAGCCCTACATAAAAGCAATTTTTTTCTTTCTTTTTTCTTTTTTACTTCTTTCAAGTCCATAAGGTTGTGGTTTCGTTCTTATACATATCGTATATAATTTTCATCGTAGACGAATGTGAAATGACACCGAGACTTCACACTTGTGGCAATAATTATTCTTAGTTTGCCTTTTGTTCAAAGACTAAAAGTTACGATTTGTATTTGAAGGCTTTTAATGTTTTATTTGTTGCTGTTTGTTCTTATTTTACAAGCTATAAGGCCATATTCGCAAATTGGGTGTTCATGGTCCAGAGGTACAAATACATTTGCAACAAATGATTCTAGTTCGGTAGCAAAGAATAGGACAAGCTTCTTGGTACAAAAATCAGTCAGATGATAGTAACAGCTTCGATAGAATGGATCAAAAGATATTTAAGAGGTGCTGATTTTTTTATGGTATTGATTTTAGTATAGAATTGTAATTTCAACGAGTAGTATCATAGGGGATGTAAGATACTAGTCAAGGCCAACAGGATCAAGTATGACACAAACTTGGCAGAACCTACCCAGTTCTCAATAGTTTTTAACCGACTCAAAGCACTGCAGATTTTTTTATAAAATATAATAGTTTCATAACGTTATATACACAACTTAAAATATTCTATTTACAGGATAGTCATCACTCTTTTCAATTCTGATATCTAATTTTGAGTGACTTTTGTTCCTAAATTATTCGAATTGTAAGACCTTTTGGTCGGTGAAATCCTAGTTCGCGAATGTTTCCAGGAATTCGTCACAATACCGTTTTCAAAAGTAGTCAATTAATGGAGGACGAGGAGCTATTAATTAAGGCAAAAAGCATCTCTGAAGCACTGCAACGTCTTTTTTTCGGAACGATCTTACACTTTCTATAAATATGGATGTTGTTTGCAAATGCAAATTGAAAAGGCGGATTAATACGCTTAGAAGAATAATAGGATTAAATAACGCATAGTAAATACTATCGTTCTTACAAATAATTCAATTAGTTCTTTTCTCTTCGTTCCTCCCTTTTTTATCTACTGACATTTAATATACAATTGATCCATGGAGAGGCATTGTCCTTCTATGGATAAGTTATATTTACTTGCTCATTTTATGTTACCTGTATTTATAGAGTAACTAAATATTACTAACGTCTACTCCTTTAATTTCATTTTCTTTGGACACCTCGTTTGTTTTGGAATATAGGAAAATTTTTTAAAAGCTATTGAAAAATGAGTCTTACCTGTAGTACGGCCACTTGTCAACGCCGTACGCGCCTCGGTACACGTCAATCGGTACTGCAGAGCTGACCGCGACCGCAGCCAAAAGAAGGACGGCACTCTTGATCATCTTGAGGAAGCTACTGTTCAACAATGGATACTGTTCATCTTGACCCGGAGGGTTTTTATACGTTCCTTTATCACACTTTTATGATGTTTGATGTGACACCCGTATCATTGAATAGGTTTGTTATCAACGCGATGCAGTTTTTCGGTTAATTACTAAAAGTATCACCAGACGTGAGTGCGTTCACTTTCGAACATGGTCCGATACCTCTGCACTTCTTATCTTTCTGCCAAAAAAAAACCGACGCATGTGATGACTGAATGTTAGCTAAGTTTTGGTTGGACACATGGCAAGGGAAACCGACAGGAAAGTTGAGAGCAGTAGATAGATAAAAAGTACGTAAGAAGGTAATACGATAAATCACTACCCAAAGTGATGAAATGTATCAAACACTATGGTGAAGCAGAGCGTGCTGAAGGATCAGAAAACTTTTGGTGAATAAGATAATCCTGGGGTACTTTACACAACCTCAAAATAGAGCTCTGAAACGGAATAGTAGGAAACTATGAAAATCAAGGCCATAAAGGCGTCCTATCATTGTAGGAATAACTAACGATAGGGCGCTTGGTGTTTCCATTTATTAACTGATAAATCTGTGGAAACGGAAATTTTAGATTGGTATTAGGTATCTGATGTTTTGAAGATTCCTATGACAACATTTTCTACCGCAGACCATTTGGAGTTTGTTACCCACTGCACAGACTGCAGTGGCCTCCGCGACGATGCAGCGTCGTGTCGTGCACGCAACGCCAACGATTGCCAAGTTATTTCAAATTATGAGCACATTATACATCGGACTTTTATTATTAAATTTCAGCTCAGAAGCTCCTTAATTATAGAACTAATACTACATACGTTACATGTACAACCTACTACGCCCTACAATACCCAACCTCCAAGTTTCAAACCCTACAAGAAACTTTTATGCTACCACACCCTGTATATTTATGCCAACCGAGAACGGTTTTCTTAGTGTCGCAGAAAAAAGCCGAGCGGAAAATGAACTGAAGAAGAAGAAAACAATATCGGACCTTTTAGACGATTCTGCCGCTAGTTTTTATTTTTTAGCCTTTACAACTAACAGCATTTATTATCTTTTTCATAACTTTTAGGCAGCCAGTTATACAACCTTCTGCTTACAGTTGTATTCCGTCTCCTTTCTCCTATCAAGTTCTCGTTCGTTCAATCACAAATAGTTCGATCGGATCGTAGTGAACGAGTGAACGATATTTATCAAGGAACGATGAACTAGTTCAGCCAAGGTTAGACATTTCTTGTGTGACTAAGTGTTCGAACGAATTTGTCGTGTCTTTTTTTGCGGTTTGTACACGTGGCACATAAGAAAAGATGTTACTGATTATATAGGGTCGTATCCCTATTTGTGACTCTACTGAAGCATTTTTAGAAAAACGCTCGGACACGTCTATTTTGATTTCCAGCGGGACGTCTTTTCATCTATAGCCGTACAATACACGCTGATCCAAAAATAAGATATTGCATTACATTTTAGATTTTTGAATGGAAATCCACATTATTAGTGTTAAGCAATATCTTATTTTTGAGCTATAGATGAAAATTCGTCCCCCTAGAAATCGAAAATGACACGTTTCGCCAAAATATACCAGGAGAGTCACAAATGGGGGAGCGACCTTTTTGTTCAAGTGACATCTCCATTGCTAATTATATTCGTATTTTTCTTCAAATCAACAATTAACTTGTTGACTGCTGGCAGATAAAAAATAAATCCGGACGATACAAAAAAACAGAAACATCTTCGGAATTTTTTCAATTGCTGCAAAAATATGATTACGGCAAGTCAATGTTTCATAACTGCAAAATATATCGGTCTTTACACTGATACCAGCACGGAATACGAAAGATACTCTATCAAGTTAATGGGTGTTTTTTTCTTGCAACATGCAAGTGTGCATGGTATATTGGACAAAGTGCATCGTGAGATTAACATGGTACCTATAAATACAGAACGATATTGTTAAAACAGAATGAAATATTGGCGTCTCGACGGTGTTATTGTGCAAAAATAATTTCAGAGACTAAAAATTGAATCATTGCGTTAATCCGGAACCAACTGAAGTACCTACATTTTTGGAGATTTAACGTTTATTACAGGAATCGAAATAGCATGAATATAAATTATTAGGACATTACAAGTTGAGTGTTAGCTTGGTTGGTAATGTCTGGAGTTTGGACCGTTTGCCAAACAAGCCTTATGGTTTCGACGCCTATTTCATTTGGAAATGCTTGAAATAAATGATCCCTGGCCCCACAGATAATTGGTCCCTTACAGTCATACCGGATTTTTAAATGCTTCTGACAAGGACGGATACAGATCGTCCACCCAGAGACGACGAAGACGAAAATTTCTCATTCATAACATTCTGGAATGGCAATAAAAGACACCAAGTACCATCTGAAGAAAAGCAAAAATCGTTATGATGAGGAAAAAATTCCTCAAATAGTTTTCAACCATCCCGTTGCTCTTAATATCAGGTGTGGCATATCGTTCTCTTATGCCACCTTCCATCTTGTGGCCTCCCACGGAAGCTTTGTAGATGGGTAGCTGACTTTCTCTCTGGCCGCAAGGTGTTCGTAGTAACTGACGCGTTCTCCTCTTCATTCCAAAACGCCAACGCGGGTGTTTTCCAGGGATCACACGAACACATCTCGGCAATAGTGACAGCTGCTGAGAAAAGGCTACGCTGTTCGCTTAGGGCTAAGGAGTACCTTTCCCTACTTGGCCCCTCACCTTATACACGGCCCCGCGGTCTTGCGTGCTTGCGAACTTGCGACCGTATAGTCTACTGACTCACGCAACAGAGGGTTGCTGTTCTGCAAAACCTGCACTATGCCCCCAGGACCGTGGATGTGCGGGAGTTGTTCTCGCTTTCCGTTTCCGAGCGACTTCGCCACTTTCCAGCGAGGAGTACTCGAGTCAAGCATCCCCGCCAAAAAGTCGTTCCTTTACTTATTGCGCAATTCATGGAAAGCATTTCTTACTTCGTGAACGAGATTCGTCGCTCTGCGAATGTCATCCTAATCGTATCGAACTTCGTAGATCCAAAACTGGCCGATACGACCGCTCGCTCCGTTTTCCCTATGGTACCGAGATTGTAAAGGAATCTACCAGAGGAGGCTTTTCCCAGTTCTACTAACTTTAGGCAGTTCTAAAATCGGATTAGCAAAGTTTATCTGGGATTCGGTGTAAGAAAAACAAACTAGATAGGTAATTAAATGACACAAATTATTGCATTAGAAAAGCGAATAGACATCTCCGTCTTCTTTTTGACAAGCAAGTTTTCATTGTCTTTAATATGTATTTACTTTCTCTTATCTTGAATTGCGAATAAAAGAGGAATCAAAGAATCTCTTCTGCACTCTCTTGAGAAGCATAGAATTGGAGGGCGTTATTTGACCAACTGAAATGAAAGTTTCAGGCAAACGACAAAACTTCAACAATAGATTAAACATCAAGGTCGTTTAAGCTGTTTTTTTTTCTGTGAATAGGATCGGGTATTATAACTTTATGTTGTAATATTTTTTTCAAAAACTGCCATTTCTGAGACCCAATGAAACAAAATGACGGCCACACCTGAAAATTTATCCAATGACTTTTATGTAATGCATAGCGCCGTTCAATTACAGTTTTGAATTCCTATGCATGCTTAAAGATATATTGATCAGCAAACGACACCACCTGTTATACCTTGTGCTGACACCTTTTGCAGAACTGCGTAAGCATCGGTATCAAAATTACAATTTTCTTCTTTAATAATGGACATGATTAAGTTTGTTAACACTAGATGTCACCACAAAATAACTATACTGCCATCTTTCCGACATTACTTGGAGTAAATAAATAGTTGTTACAGTTTCGTATAGAGTTATTAGCAGTAATTTATATCTTCATGGATAAGTGTCACCACAAGTACTCGAACAGCGTTGTCAAATCTACTAGTATTCTACTAAATTAAGGGCCGATTTCACCAACATTAATATGTGTAAAATATGTTAATCTCTACATTTCCGAGGTGCATAATGCAATTACTGTAGACATAAACCTAAAATTATTAGTAATTACTGAAAAATAAGAGCTAAAAAGAATTATAAATAGCGATAAAATATCGGTGGTTAAGGTTTTTGACTGGTGACTGGTGGGGATACAATATAGGGATGGCGACGATAGACGATACATTGACGTATCGAAAACATCGATACATCGGACGTAGAACATCGATCTTTACGCATCGATGGTTTCATGAGGATATATCAATACGTATACCCCGAGTCTATCCTTAACTGTGCTACCATCTCCAAGCGAGAACTGGTAGCTTCGAAATTGAAAGGCCAGAACGCTATTTAGGTGTTTAGTAGTATTTGAATATTATCATTACAGACGAGCACTGAGCCACCGAGCGGCCACTGAGCACTGTAGTCTTTTCTTCATTCTGTGCTTCCCCAAAGGATAGAATAAAATAGACTGAAAACAGCACGTTTAATGATTTTCAGTTCTTCAGAAAGATTTTCCCTTGCCGGCCCTTGACGTCGTTTCGAAATATTAAATTCTGGAAACGCTATAAAAATAAAAATGAATACACAAAGCCTACTTCCGTATTTCAGACAAAAACAAAAACAACTGCCACATAACGATTGTCACCTTGACGTCATTCTGCAATCTGTCAAAGTAGTGATGGGCGTGCCTGCTGGTATACGGTATCGATATTCGATAACATATTTTTCTTTCTACCATGAATGCGTGGAAATAACAAAATAAGGAGAGATCTAAAATAAGGAGTTATTGAAGGCCTAAAATAGCCAGGCGTTAATAATTCCTGGCCGTATTTGAATACCTAAGCAGGCATAGTAAAACAAAAATATGACTTGGGATTAAAAAAGTTTACTTCGACAGTTGGCAGAGTTTGCTCCACTGGGACGAAGCGTTGACGGATCCCACAGAATTATGTGTCACTTGTCGCTATGGTTAGTTTTAAAATATCAGGAGATAATCAGCTGTTATTCAAATCAGTGTATATGTTTTGTGATTCAAATAACGTCTAATATAAATATAACCCAAAATATGTACTCAGTGAAAAAAGAAGAATATTGCAAATTACTAGATTTTCTGCAGGTTTTAGGTTTGCCGGTAGCTCTTCGACATATATGTTATTTGGGTATTTCTTAATCGCTGTGAATATAGTGTGGATGTTTGTTAAGTTCCTGAACAACGAAAAATATTCAACTTATGGATGTATGGATATTGAAAAAACCAGAATGGTTTTGTGGGAATATCAATCTAAGGTGCCATAATGGTTCT